AGTAGGTCTTAAGATTCAGGAGTTATGACCCAAAGTTATATTTTTTTAAATGGAAATCAAGCTGGTCATGACCTAAAAAATGGAGATTTTTTTTTGCATTTCAGCAATATATCACATGCTATAGTTATTTTTCCAAACACAGAAGATACGGGGTGTTTTATATATAAAATCGATCCTTTTTTACATTTTAATATGGCTGGCTTTGAAAATACCTACATACAAAACTATAAACCTTACTTTTACAAAACTCATATCTGTTGTAAAAATATGACGTTTATTTAAAATATATATTAAGTACAGATAAGAAAAGACAGAGTTTTCAAATTTTTATTCCACTTCAACTGAAGTTACAATATTAAACGTAAATTAAACAATAGTAAGTACCTACATCAATAAAAACTTTCAAAAATGATAGCTAAATGTTCAAATTGCCGTCCCTCAACTGTCACACATTTCACGCATCTTCTGGCAACGCTTCGGGTAGCATTCATTAAATGTATATTTGAAATATTTTTAAAAGGAATTTTAAATATAATGCCTTTTAGAAAACCCCAAAGGAAAAAGTCCAACGGACTCAAATCAGGTAACCTAGCTGGCCATCAGATCGGTCCGTTTGTTCCTATCCACGTATCTCCTAAAATTGCGTTAGTATTATATTATCACACGAGTATATGTTGTGCATTTAAAATAAATGTCATATTTTTACAACAGATATGACTTTTGTAAAAGTAAGAATTATAGTTTTATCTGTATTTTCATAGCTGGTCTTATTAAATAGGAAAAAAATATGTAATTAATATCTCTATTTTTTTAGGCCGTGGTCACCTACGATTTCCATTTAAAAAAATATAACTTTGGGTCATAACTCCGAAATCTTAAGTCTCTAATCTAATCTCTACTAAAAATTTAATACCGGCATTCAATTCTACGCTAAAGAATTAGTCTTGAGCAGTTTTCACTTTAACTCTAACTTATTTAACAGCTGAGATACAGACATATTAAACAATGAGACAGTAACGAGAAACGCCATGTAACTCAGAAACAAATGAAGATAGCAAATTTCCGATCTGACAGTCGAGTTTACCATGAAAATCGAGCTCGAGAACGTCGTGTCAGATTTATCATATCGTTAGTAGTTACTGAGATACCCTGAATTCCCATCGAAAATGGACCAGCCTGTACATCAAGTTGGAGATTTTGATCATTTTTATTTCGGAAATGGTTGAGTTTAGTCATATAAGTTTTTTTTTAATGGATTCTATCATCTATTAAAATTAAGGCAGTCGAATTTCTAACTGCCTACATAAAATATTTGAATATAGATATGAATTAAGCCCTTACAGCTAGTCTGCGGATAGGTGAGATAACTATAAACAAATAAAAATGTTGGTATCGAAAAATGGTATTTTTCTTAAGATTCTAATAGGACTTTCAAAATTTAGTAAGCTCTAGAAATTTACAAATATATTAATTCTCTCATAAGTAATATACCATTTCTGTATAAGATACGACAGAAAATGTTATTAAGAAAAGTTCATTAGAATGAAAAGTACAAAATTTAACGACATTACCTTATTTTTTTGTTTAGTGGCATTTCTATATGAGAGGTTCTAGATAATGTTATTAAGAAAAGTTTCTCAGAATGACACTATGTATGCACGGAAAATTTACAAAAAAATACTACTGAAAAATTCGAAATCCTCAAATCATAGAGGCAAGAACCTATGTAAAACCATTTCAAAATAAATAAAATACTTAAAAAAAATCTCAGACAATATAGTAATAATTTCAGATCGTGTCACAATATCTAAAATACCTCGAATAGTCTGTAAAATTTTTGGAACAGAACCAAAACTTCTATGAAATATAAAGTACATCGAAACAGCTTCAGAATCTATTAAAAAACATCCTATACAAATTCTTTGATATGTTTAACAGTTTCAAAATGCTTCAAAATATATTGAAATACTTCGAAAACCTACAAAACGTATTTAGTGGTTTTTGAAGTATGTATATTATATTTTTTAAAAGTGTTCGATAAAATTCTATTAACATTTGATATACTCTGCAGTTTTTGAAATATTTTCTTCTAATTTAATGTATTTGACAGCGATTTTGATGTAATTTATTATTTCTAAAGCCATTCTGAGAGATTTTAAAGAATTTTTATGCCGTTTCTGTACTTGTGCTTTTATATATTTTATAAATATTCTGATGCTTTTGAAAGATTCCAAAACTATACAAAATATACCTCAATTTAGTATCTTGTGTTATAAACTCAGCAAAAAAGTTAAAGGTGCAGAAAAATTTCCAAATTTTTTTAGTGATTTTTGAAGGGCTTCGTGAATAATGGTCGTATCGAGAAAAAGAAAGCTTCCTTGACGATTGAAAAATTTTCTCGGCGCAATCAAAAGAGATAATACAAATACGAATTAAAAAAAAGTCATTTTTCGAAAAATGGTTTTTAATCGCATTTTTTATTCGCAAATTAATTTTTTTCAATTATATCATTCGATTTCTCGGAAAATTTTACCCTAGCTTTGATATAAATTCGTTGTTTTCGTTAACAACCAAAGAATATATAAAGGTTCAAAGATGGCAACATTTCAATTCGCACTAGTGTAACCTTCAAGATGGCCCACCTTTGAGGGTTACATATGTTGTAAGCTTTCACCAAGTAAAACTACATAATTGCTATTTTTAAAATTATTTTGGGACAGTAAAACTACGTTCTTATAGAAAAAATAGCAATTGAGCGAGAATAAATTTGAATATACATATTATGAATTTTGGATATTTTTGGTGATTATATTGATAGATTAATAAAAATTATGTATAACATCAATTTGTTTCATTGAGTGAAAAAAAATTGGGTTCAAAACGAAAAAAAACAAAAATTTTATTTTTACTTCAACTTCAATCGTGAATATCTTTTGAAAGAATAAAATTATGCAAAAATGTTAAGACGACTTTTTTGTACAGCATTAATTTCCTTTCAAAATCTGCATTGTTCTTTTTCAGATATTAATTTGTTCGTTATTTACAAAATTCCAAAGTTAAAAAATCAAATCGAAAAAACATATATTTTCAAGGCTTGATAACATGGAAACGGCTCGTCTGCCGAAAATTTTCAATCATACCTTTTTTGTAGGGCATACAATTTCCTTCAAAAATATATGAAGATGAATTTTTTATTTCGATGGTTTGGCAGTTTTAACGCAAAAATGGGATCGGGAATAAAAAATCGAAACTAGCGATGATAGACCTCTTAAAACTAATATTAAGGACTCAAACTCTCACGATATATTTTTTTCCTCATTCTGAATGATATTCTCGATATATATTTAAAAAAAAATAGTCGATTTTTTTGGCCCAGTCTAATAAATATGATATATTTTTTAATTGTAATAACCTGTATTTTGATTTTTTTTAAAATTGCCTAAGAAACAACCTCCTTTAATTGTGACAGACCTAAAAAAACCTCCTGTATATTGCTTGCTTGATTATTTGTACATTCTGACATTACAATGTAAGTAGTTATCTTTTTTTTATTAAATTAATTAAAAAAGGTACTAGGCACAAGTATTTACGTAAAGTAATCAATAATCATTAAAAGAAATGACCTTTAATCACTTGAAACTTTTTAAGGGGTTGTTTTCGACGGTTTCCCGAACACAATTACCGAAGTACGACATCTATCTTACACCGCCCTAGTACCCAACATCGCCATAGACCTGCAAGCAACGCCCTCGGAGATTTTCGAGTGCCTATCTGCCGATTCGGGTCGAAGAGGTCTGCCTAAATTCAGCGAATTATTCGTCGATCATTTACTGAGCGAATGGAAAACCACTTCGCAAACATTCAGGGACTGGTTCGATCGCGAATACCAAGTGCTGGTCAGCATCCCCATAAGCTCAAGCAACTGGTTTGTGTGGGACCAAACCTGGAAGTACATAACAGCTGTCTCCTTTGAGATCAAGCACTATTTCGTCCACGTAGCCGATGACTGGGCTGTGAGGTTAGCGAACATGCAGATAACGCCTTTGGAGTTCTTAGAACGCCAAGGTGCTTTTAAGGCGTACTGCCCCGCCTGCCTCCATTATTCTAACGTTTTGACGTGCGGGGGAGATCCTCCTGATAGGACGGGCTTGGTGCAGTACAAGCAGTTCTTTTACTGGGTCTGTCCGGACCACATCGATTATTTCCTGATAAATCCGGATAAGTTTATGATACCGTACAACAACAGCAAGTTGCCGCAAACTTTACCGGAGGTGACGCGTTTAAGAAGCGTACCGAAAGACGTCTTCGAGGACGGCATCTGTGCGGTGTGTTACAAGAAGAAGAGAACCTACGTCAAGGGGAACATAAACTTCGCCGTCCATTACAACAACTACACGTATCTGTTCGACGGTAGTGAGTGCTTCCGAGAGTTCAGCAGGAACCCCCACAACTACATATGCGACATTAATTTCAAACCTCCAGGCTATTATCCTTCTTTGAGTTACGAGGATTTGCCCGTCGTAGGCATGCTGGAGCAGTACGTGGCCAACTACATCACGAAGGCTCTGAGTTTCGTGGCGAGACGTCGACCTGTCATACCCGGTTTGGATGTCCCTACGTCCGCACTTATCGGAATAGGTCTGTACCTGAAGATGTTCAATCCCAATATCGACGAGAGGTGGAAGCCCTTCTACAAGGAAGCCGATGATTTATACCACGAAAGAAGATTAAAACTGATAAATTACTTAGATAGAATGAAATCCGTTATTAATCCTTATTTACACTACGAGGAACCCTTACCTGAGTTCGAAATGCCCATTTCCGTAAAATCGGATACTACTGAAAGCGTTGGTACGACGGTGACAAAGCTCGTCGATGAATTAATAGACAATATAGATTACGATTAGATTGTAATGTTGTTTGGTGCAATAAATGTCCTTGAAATTTTTATGGTGGCGTAGTTTTGTTTTGCTGTATCTTTTTGTTTTTTTTTTCAGCACGTAGGGTTCCTGTTCCTGATGAGAGATTCGACTACCTCTGTGAATACTTCAAACCATTAAGGTGAGTTGGCTTGTTTTTTGTGAGGTATTTTGATACTGTACATTTGCGATAATTATGAAAAAAAAAGATTTTTTTTTCTCTACTAAAAGCCTAAAGAATATGTTAAATGGTTAAAATTTAGAATGTTCCTGTTTCTTCAACAAATTTTACTGATTAACTTAAAAAATTTAAATTTATGTTATAATTTACTTGTTCTAAATATTTACATTGAAAGTGCAGTTATGCAAAGTGCAATTATTAAATACTGATATTCCAGTCAATTTAGAAATCATAATATTTGTGTTACTAACATGGGCCAGGAAAAAGAGCTGGGAAATTACCATTTCGCAACTTTTTGTTTCGGCAAGCTGAATTTATCACTATTGATGTTAAATATTATGTACAATAACGTATTAGTTTCCACAGTCATAAAAATGATGGGAAGATTGTTTACAGGCAGGTTAATTATTTAATTTTCACGTAAATTTTTCCGAGAAAATAAAGTACTTACTCTCGAGCGTAAAAAAATATTGATTAGATCAAAAGCTATAAACAGAAGAAGTTTATTTATTGCTTTTAAATAATATAAATAGTCTGAGATGTCTGATATTTTTGTGCGTAAGGCTGAATATTTTCAATATAATTCTAAATTAAATTTGTCGACAACAAATATTATCTGTATTTGTGTATTAGGGATGTTTATTACTAGCATCGTTCTTACTCGTATATTCCATATCATCTACGGTAATTTTTATTGTCACGGCAATATGCGCTGCCCAAACCAATTGCTATGTATATTCTACAAGGAACTAAATTGTCATAATTTTGAATGCAACCACTGAAAATTCGAAAATATCTTAATAGCAAGATAATAATGTTTCGAAGATTTTGTTAAAAATTTGTTTATTTCTTGTATATTAAAACTCTGGACTTCTTTGCTCTATATCCCACAGATTTCTTTAGACAAGGTAATCATTTCGGAAATTTGCTAATATCAATTTTCTTCTTGCTTTGACTATTGAATACAGATTTCATAAAATGATAATGTATCGGTATTTTGCTTTTTGAGCTAAGTAAATTAACAGAACAGTTCCATTCATGTATTTTTTCGTACCTTTTTCTGAATTTCATTCAGGAGCCGCTTTTTTAATATCCACCGGAATGTTATCTTCGTCACTTTCATCGTTAATCATCTTTAAATGACTTGGAGACTTATATTAGGGAAAATATAAGCGCACAGCTGTCAAAATCTTCTGCTAATAGACAACTGTGATACATATCTACTTTGTATTTAGTTCAAGTTTTGACGTAAGAGCTCGTTTAGAGTAACTTTACTGACCTCTTACGTCACATTACCTAGCTTTCTCCTCATTTCCCATCTAGATTAGTAACGATGCACTTTCCAAGCAGAAAGTTATCTGCAACAGAATTTGTCTAAAGCCGCAGCACAAAAAACAAATTTACTGGACGTGGAGCACTTTTATCTGTCTCTCGTATTTCGTATTTCACACGACATTATAGACCATCCATTGATTACACCTATTTCGGGCGAAATAACCCGAAAATGATACCTCTTTCCCCGACATCGAATTATTAGTAGGCAAATGATAATTTAAATGATAGCTTAACGGTAGTTAGGGAACATTTTTGAGATTGTTCGACGGCGTATTCGGATATTCACTTGGACGATGTGTTCCCACCGCCATGTCGGCGCCGCCAAATTGGCAGCACCCCTATTAAGGACGGCCGCAATTACCTTGCCCCGTTGCTGCACCCGGGGGTACCCCAGAATTTGAATACGGAGTTAATTTGATAAGATAGAATTTTATTCCAATTTGTTTGGTGATGGGCTTGTTGTCGTTTGCCACTGCGTGAAATATTATAGTGTCCAGGGTGATATACAGGGTGTCCGACAAAAATGGGGAAAAGTCATATACAATGTCGCTCATAAACGCTTAGTTTTCGAGATACAGAGTGTTGAATTTGAAAAAATAAAAACGATTTTCAGGCATATATCGGAGATACGTTAAGGGACTTTTTTTAATTTGATATGAGGAGTTTTAATGGGGACCTACATCATTTGCTGCGATTTCACATCAATACGAAAAACCAGTGGCGTGGGAATAATAATTTCGAGACCCTTTTCTAAAAGATAAATGTTACGCCACTGCGTAAAGCGGAAATAACTAACAATTTTCAAATTTTCAATGATTTTACAGCATTGTATTGTTGAAATCGCTGAGAGACCTTTTTTGAAAAAACTGAGCTTAAAGTCGGCAAGGATGTACAGTTCATGGATAACGTAATTTCGAAAATAAACATAATTAATGTTTCTCTTAGTTCTTCTTGGTATATTTTATGAATTAATTATTTATGTTACACAAAAAAAGTTGTTTATATTTTTATTTTAGTTTTCTTAATTGTTTGATATGTTTTACAACTTTAATAGGTACCTAAAATATCATACGTAAACAGTGTAATTGTAAAATATTATAGTTATTTACACCATAAAGGAGGTAAGTATTATTTACCAGTCGAGGACGATTTTGCGCCCGAGCGGAGCGAGGGCTGGCAACAAAGTCTGAGACTGATAAATTATACTTAACTGCTGCGTGGTGTATAACATTTTATTTGCTCCCATAGTTCTTTATGGTTCATAATTAGGTTTTATTTTTTGACATTTCTTAATCAATTTATTTTAACATTATTCGAAATTTTGCAAAGTCGCCTTGGTGGTTTGGATTTTGTCGTTTCTAAGACGTTTATAAACGAAGCTACATAAAAGTTGCAATATTGCTGGTTTTGAATTATTATTTCTAAATGAGTGATTTTCAAATAGAAAGTGCAGCAAATGCCACTTGCGAATTTTTATTGCCCGAGAAGTCGAAAGTGCGCTACAGACGAGCATATAGAAATTTCAAAGAATGGTGTCAGAACAAAAATACTGGTGTTTCTGAAATGTCACTGCTAGCATATTTCATGGAGAAGTCAAGAACTTTAAAATCACCGGCGAGTTTGTGGAATGAATACTCAAGGATTAAGCCAACTATTTTCATAGAGGAGAACGTGGATATATCAGAGCATTTTTGAAATGTAAAAATGACGGCTATACACCTAAAATGTCAAACATTCTTACAACAGAACCACCCGATAACACATATTTGCTAATGAAGGTAGTGGCGGTCTTAGGCATTACAGGAGCATGCCGTTCTGATGAGTTATGCAAACTTACTTGGACAACGTCAATTTCAAAAAATTCCATGACATTATTGTAGTTACAATTCCAGATTCTAAAAATGGTATGTCACGTACGTTTACAATTATGTACTTGTCGTCTGGGTTCTGTATCTTCTGTTCTGTATAGAAATTCTCAAGAAATATATCAAGATCAGATTGGAAATTAAAACTGTAAATTCACGCTTTTTATGCGCTATCAAGCAGATAGATGTTTCAACCAACCAGTCGGAAAGAATACCCTTTCTATGAGTACTAATAAAATTGTACAGTTTCTGAAACTAGGACATCCTGAAACATATACAGGCCATACATTCCGAAGAACATCGGCAACGTTACTGGCTAATACAGGAGTTGATGTGTTAGCGATCAAGAGACATGGTGGGTGGAAATCAGCCACAATTGCAGAAAGTTATGTTGCTGACAGTTTAAGTAACAAAAATGAAATAGCCAACAAGATTATTTACAATGATACTTCAACTCCAGTTTCTAGTAGTACGTCGCAACATGATGTTTTAATGAATCAGTCAGATAATATTGAGCCTCCTTGCAATGGAGCGGTCAAATCATTTTGAGAAAAATGTGACGATTAGTAAACGCGAGGGGAATAATTATCCATATTTTATAAATGTTACTAAATGTAATAACTGTACAATTACCATAAATATTCATTCATAATAATTAATAAAATGATATGTTCATCAAATATTTCCATTTATTAGTTCATAGAATATGCATTTAAACTCGAAGTCGCTTTTTTCCCTAGGGAGGTAAGTTACCTCACTTACCTCCCGTTGTCCATAGCAACTTCTATTTCTACGGTAAAATTCAATTACCTCCTTAAAAACAATGTATTAATAATCTATTTACTATAGAGGGACCAGATAAAAATGTTTTAATGTCCGTTAATGCTATTTAATTATCAAAAATATTTGTTTTTATAAAATAAGTTGGAAGTTAACGAAATTACGTCATCCACAAATTACACATCCTTGCCGAATATAAACGCAGTTTTTTCAAAAACAGTGCTTCAACAAGTATACCTTTTACGCTAAAACTCATTGAAATTTTGTTTTACTGTACAAACTTAACAAATAAGGTCTTTCATTGCTTTACGTATTGCCTTTTATATTGTTTTCTTTCTGACTGGTGTCAATATGCTTCAGAGATTTCTCAACACACTGTTTTATCTCTGGTGTTCCTTAGGGACCAGTCCCGGACCCACGGTTATCAATATTTTTATTAATAAGTTGGTTCGCTGTTTAAATGTACTTACAATCTGATATAAAAATATGTATTTAAAGATACACCCTCCAGAATTGCGTTGGTTTCTAGGAAAATCTCAATAGACCTAAAGACCTAATCTTTGGTGTGATTGTAACTGAAATTCCATAAATTTATTAGCAAACAATAACAATGAATGACGTTGGCGCTATTCGATTTATGATAACAATGATGTCACTCATGGGCGGAAGTGGCGCAAAGGGCATCGGTAGTTTGTAAGCTACCTCCTACTTTACTGACCTTGAATAGGACCCACATTTTTTATTTTAATGAAATGGTATCGTCGCTATTAAGTACTTGTTCCAAAAACCCTGTCATTTGCCTCGCCCGTCGCATCCGTCACACCACCAGAAAGGAATCAATTTCCTGACATCCAACACAGGTACAATTTCCCTAAGTGCACAATTTAGCAGATCTTTTGATTCGTTTTGAATCTGCTAGACGCGAATCTTGTTCGTGAGACGCCCGAGGTCCGGCTGACGTCTGGATCATCGCCCAAGATC